AAATAAATTGCATTTTGTCCAATTGCTGTTGTCAAACAGAGAAAATCCAGCTGAATCGATTGTACGATGCGTTCAAAATTATGAACATGTAAGACAGATAGTTCGATGTAATATACAAGCGCTGCTTGCTTGAAGTTTATCTGAGACAACTTCGACTAAATCGCAAAGTGGACAGTGCCACTTTAGGATTCACAGCAAAGTGGTTCACTGCATTTTTTGATTAAAAATCTCATTAGAAACGCTGAGACTGTATAGCTGTACTAACACATTAAACGACAAATCATTAGGTATGAACTACCCACTAATTAGTGCAAATTAATTAATTAAACAATTAATTACGGTCTCTTACTAGCAGAATGTGCTTGTCTATGTTTGTCAAATTATCCAACAATCAGAATTATAATACATAATATTTGCGTCAACAAGAAATTGATTTTGTACTATACAAAGGGAATTGGAAGATTATTTATGTTAATAGTAAATTTTTCTTAATAGAGGGCGCAGGAGAACGAAGCACTATTGGTTGAAAGCATAAGCTAATCAAAGCCTGAGTCTTTCATCATTTTTTGCTGAAATGATGGTTTTATTTTGCTAATTGCTTCTCTCATGCAATACGAAGCTGAATTCCACTATGCTTTCGCAAGCAGTATAGTGACTTTACTTAGTGTACAACGGGATTTGTTGCACTACCAGTAAATCTACCTTTTGTCTCTTGAACCAACAGTTTTGTGGTTTAGTGTTCTCTTCGTATGTCTGGAATTAAGTACTTTCAAAACCACCGCGGACTGACCGTACGAGTTGATCAATCTATTGCAGCTTTTGTCTTTGCTTTTAGAGAACAATGCGGAATTTACAACTGTCTTATATAAAAAGTATTTTGTTTTCTGAACTAAATGTTGAAAATGTTCACCGTACGGCTTATGACAGTGATAAACAAATCTTCTACATTTCAACTGATCATATTATTTACTCATTTGATGTCGATAATGATGATGATAAAAGTTTAAGACAAGCTTATGAGACGCAAGAACATTCAATTGAAGATTTGTGTTATGTATCCGAGATAAATTGTTTATGTATCGCCTTATCCAATGGTGATTTACTATCGTATATATGTGACGATAATATCGAAAATATAATCGGTACTATGGACACAAAAATACACGCAATAACCCTGAGCCCGGATCAACAAATATTAACAATAGTTAGTGATACTAAATTATTGTTATTATCAGTAATGAATGAGTTTGAACCGATTGCAGAAATAAATTTTGATACGAATGAGTTTGGTTTACAACAATTCGTTAACGTTGGATGGGGAAAACAAGAAACACAGTTTCACGGATCACTCGGTAAGAAAGCAGCGTTATTGCCAACGTCCATGGGAACGAAAAACATCTTCTCATTTGACGATTGTCGTACAAAAATATCATGGCGTGATGATAGTGATTATTTTGCTGTATCATTCATATCAAAACAAGAACAATGTCGTATGATTAAAATATACAATAAACAGGGACAATTACAAGCGACAAATGACCAGGTATTTAATGGTTGTTTAGAACATTCATTTGCATGGAAATTAAGTGGAGAATCGATTGCAGTACCAATGAGAATGAACAATGGACAAAAATCAACAATTAGTTTTATGGAGAAAAATGGTTTGAAACATGGCGATTTTGAATTAGTGAAAGAAGATGAAAAGGAATATCATGTACAACATATTTGCTGGAATAAAGATTCAACAATTTTATGCATTGTATTGCATACGGCAGAAAGTAGTGTTAAAGATAAACCGGTAATAAGTCTAAGAACAGTCTGTATTTGTTATAACAACCTATCTTCCCCTTTTCGACATTGTTAATAGTGGATTTATTGCATTTTTGTTTCTTCACAAGAAATATGAGAGTTATTTTAAATTGTGTAGACTGTCTTTATGTTCGCAACTTCTTGTGAGGATGATGCTATTACACAATTAATCTTCAGGTTATTTTCTTTCGCTAGGAGCGTAATAACTCAAGTAAAGGATCATCCGTACTGCAACTATGGTCGACAAACAATTATCATTGGTATTTGAAACAATGTTATAAGTTTGAATCACTTCAAATTCAAACAATTCTCTGGGATATGGAATCAACAAATAGGATTCATTTCATTTTCGACAATGGTCAATATCGTACAATGACTTGGGTGTGGGTTACGAACATTAAAAGCGCTGATAATCGTACATTAGCTTGTGTTATAGATGGAAAAAAATTGATGGTCACTGATTTTACTCACTCTTCCATACCGCCACCAATGTGCACATATACAATCATGTGTCCATCAACGATTCATTCTGTTGTATCGAGCAATAACAGTAACGATCAGCTATTATTTGCTCTGTCAAACGGTGTAATTGCTTTGTGTAAATCCTCGTTACCATCGTCTGACACGGTTTCTGGCTATGAAACAATAAAACATTTGCCTGAGATAACAGCTCATTATATCCAATCTGTCATAAAAATAGACTCTAATATGAATGACTGCACTCATTTTACATTATTTAATGATCAGTTATATTACATCGAACTATCTGTCTTACATGTTCATAATTTTGAACGCATCGTACAATCGATTCAGCTGGATTTTCTCTGTTTGACAACAGCAATTGGACAAAATGCAATTTATTTTGAGAGTACAAATGGCGAGATATTCTATCTGAATGAGAAACAACAAATTAAAATAGTATCAAAAATACAATTTCCACGACGATGTCCACAATTTTCGATTGTCATACAAGGAAATGACGAAAAGTTTGTCGGTTTAACTGATAATTATCGTTTATATTTAAACTCGAATGAACTGCTACACAATTGTAATTCATATTTTATACATGATCGATCAACGATTGCTTATTCAACTCTACAACATCAAATTGGTTTTATTTCTTTAACCAATAGCAACAACACTCATCAGAACAATGTTATTGATACTAAAAGACGAACTGGTAAGTGATTCTTGTCTCTTGCTACTGTTCAAGTTCATTCTTAATGGTAATAGAATTTAAAGCTTAAGAAGCTTAAGAAACGGTCCTTTGATGTCAAATTCAAGATGTAAAATTTTGATAATTCCAAGCTTGTAGAATAACTTTTAAAACTTCGTTCTAGGCTTAAAAGACACAGACTTCTAGTACTTAAACGTCTAGTATTTAATGACATGTTTCGGTTAGAATATATCATTATGCTTTCTTTACGACTTGCGAAATACTAAACTGTGCAAAATATTACTACTGCCTGGAAGATCCGCTGTTTGATATCACCCAAAGCCATAAAAATAATCACTTTGGCACTAAAAGATTCAGCTTTTCGAGGTCTAGAAAATCCGATGAATGAGATAAAATAATAACATTTAGTTTTGTTACACAAGAGAGTCAATTTTATTCTAGTTTTCTATGAAAAACTGTGCACAGCTATTTTTTTGTATAAGATTTAAAAGGTAACAGTTCAGTTACAATCTTTTTGCTACAGAGCAGAATTTGAGAAATTCTTCGCATTTGGTGTCGATATGCTCGGTTGGAGAGGCCATAGTCTTATAGTGCAAAAAATGTTGTTCGACTAAAAATAGGGTAGTGTTGGGTGGAGTTTACCGTTTCGAAATTTTTAAAGAAAGCATAACAATATATTGTAACCGAAGTATATGATTAAATACTTGGCAAAATGCTGCGGCTTTAAGGCGTAGAACGAGCTTTTCAAAGCTATTCTACACGGTTGAATTAAAATTCTCCACGCTGAATTCACCACGCTGTCGAGTTATCAAGCAAAAACGTCACGAGCGAGAATCATTAATTTCCTTACTAAATGTATTATGTCGAATGATAAACGAAGTGAATAAAGGGGGGCACTGTGCATCAATGAATGAAATTAAAATAACTTTAAAAGTTTATTACCCAGCATTTCCGTTCCCACAAGATGATATTTTGTATATAGCCATTGGGACATTGATACAAGATAAGAAGTTAATGTTGAAAAGTAAGGAGTTAGAACAGGACATCGATATTTTTTGTTGGCACACTTCAGATTTGTCTTGCTTGAGTTTAAATCGCAGAAGACTTTCAAAAGACTAAATTATTTGTGTAAATTTTAGACGGTGGAGATACGACATTAACGTGCCAGCAAGCAAAAAATGTAAAACGATCATTAGAAAAGATAATTCGCGTACAAAAAATGGAATTTGTTAAACATTTATTCAGCGCTATAAACATATTTGATGTTTTTTTCTTTATGTTTAGATGAAGAAAATCAATACTTTCTCGTCTACTCAAATTCTTCCAAAAAGAATTATTTATAGGCCAAATATTTTCGGGTTGTGTTTCATTTCTAATTTTTTCAATAAACGCTTTTAACATTGTTTCTGGTAATAAAAGATAATTCGATACTTCCAGTGGCACCTTTTGACTTCGCCCCTTTTCCATAATATAAAATTGTCATTTTTTTTAAAGTGTCATTTAATCGTCCCGTTATTGTTGGTAGCATCCTGTTATTTTTCATATCCCAGAGAATTGTTTGAATTTGAAGTGATTCAAACTTATAACATTGTTTCAAATACCAATGATAATTGTTTGTCGACCATAGTTGCAGTACGGATGNGGGAATTAAATTGACTCTCTTTTGTAACAAAACTAAATGTTATTATTTTATTTTGTTCATGGGATATTGTAGAAATTGGAAAGCTGAATTTCTTGGTACCAACTGATTATTTTCATGGTTATGGGTGATAAAAAACTTCGCTTGCGAAACAGTTGACCTTTCAGGCGGTAGTAATATTTTTTTCAGAAAAGTCGGCATCTTTTACGCCTAGAACGAAGTTTTAAAAGTTATTCTACAAGCTTGAAAATATCAAAATTTTACATCTTGAATTTGACATCAAAGGACTGTAGGAGCGTTTCTTAAGCTTC